ATGGATCGGCAAGAAAGTGTTATAAAAACAGCGTCACACGATCAACAGGGCATGGCATAAGTCAGCTGCCTTAACAGCAGAATCAACAAATAAGAGAGATCGATTTTCAGGCGGTGAAACGAAAGAAACGCAAAGTTGCTCGCCAACGGCGAATCAGGACACCTGTTCAGAAACGGACCTGTGACAAAGATAGATCGCCTTTCGAGTACGTATAAGAGTTTAAAATGACGGTACAGGCGCTGACAGTTCAGTCATATTTCAACGTCATCGGCGAAGTTCGAACGACAACGAAGGGCGACAGTACGGACAAAACCCGTCGCTCATTACGATTAATAACAGGGGTCGCACCTTCTGCTGGTTATCACATTGAATACACAGCTTTCAGGTGGGTCAAGGCGAACTGCAGCTCGGTGAGGCCCTCGCATTAGACATAGCCATACCTCACGTCCATTCTGGTATGACCACACCAGAACAATATGCTGCCTTTTTTGTAGTCATAGGCAAGGGTGCTAGGTGCTACGAGTATCTCGGCAAGCATGGGGATGAACCATGCTCAAGATAATTCGCACTTTACACAACGACGGTCCGGTGCTGGTCATCACGGGGTCAGCTGCAACGCCGCTACCTCGTTACGGTCTGCAGAGCCATTTCATCGTACATAGCTGCTTCCTGACAGCCGCCCCGAATGGCAACCGGTGCCGGCATGGACCACACGATGCACGTACATGGACGTTGCTTGGCGTGGCTGACAGCGGTGGCGCTGCTGTTGCTGCCGTTGCTGATCAGGTCGTGATGGCGTTGGCCGATGGAGGCGGTGGCGGCTGTGGCTAGTCAGCTGTTCGTCGTTGGTTGGTGCGTGCGTGTGTGTCTGGCGTGTTGGGTGCCATCTATCGTTGCCGCAGCCAGCCGTACGAACCCTGTTCGGCAGCCGGGTCCATGTGTTGGCTCGGCAATGCCGTCGAAGCGATCGGTGAGTGACGACGATCGACGTACGTTGTTGTGACTGCACCTCGTTGCTTGCTGCCGGAATTAGAGTACTGCGATACGGCTGGCTGAACCTCGTCGTATGGTCGGCTGATTACTGCTCCCTAACAGAGCTTACTTTTGACCCTCGACCGACTATGGGCGGCAGATGCTCGTCCGTCGCTGCGACCACCTCCAGTCGCCGTCAGTCCCATGACGACGTCGACGACGAGGCGTCGTCCTCCGCAACCCCACCTGTCGCTCAGCGTCTACTCCAGGTAAGACGTCTACTCCAGATCGTCGTCATGACTTTGCCGTACGTGTTCCTCGGTCCGTCCGTCCGTCTCTAATTAGACTAGTTTTCCTACTCAGTTCATCCGCCACGTAAGGTGTTTTGTGTCCCCCTGGCACGACCACTTGTTCCACCAGTTCAGTCGTATTCCTGTTGCCCTCGAAGGCGGACTGCCGCCGTGACGCGCGACTTTCCTCACGCGTCGTTTGTTGTTGTCGTCCTCGTCGTCGA